GAGAGAGAGAGAGAGAGAGAGAGAGAGAGAGAGAGAGAGAGAGCTATCAACTCATGTTTGACAATCAATACCAACTTTTTCGAGCAGTACTGACTGTGTAAAATATGCTATATCATATGTAAATATTTATTATTTTTACTGTACAATAAATCGTGAATTTTATCGCATTAGCCAAATCGACGACGAAATAAAAAAGATTATGTAGTTTGGATTTCGAAATCGTAAATATTATTTACAACAACAATTCGAGAGAGAGAAAGAGAGATACTTTCAATGCTTTTCACGCTGATGTGGCAAAATAGCGTAAAGTTCTCGATTTTTTAATAATTTGTTATTTAATGTAAAAAAAAAGTGACTGTTATAAAAAATGTTCTTTATTAAAAATGTTCTAAAGTTTTGTTTCTTCTTTTTTGTATTATTAATGTATAAGCTTATCTCTTGAATTAAACATTTTTCTATGATGAACTGCTGTGTTTATTTCCCTTACTGTGTTTTTAACGGAAGTTGATATCGTGGATTTTTCTTTTTCGCGCGACTTTAAATCTCTGATAAACGCATCAATGGTTAGCGAAGTAATATCCGTATTCATAATTAGACCTTGTACTTAAGACTTCCTTAAATTTATTTTTAGATACTCAGTAGCCAATGAAATAATTCATAGAGCATCTGAAGATAAAAAGGAAGCCCTGAATATAAAGCCTGACTATGAATACGGGTATAAGATTAGGAAAATAGCTCAGCTTTGATTTGGATAAGAATATTTCGACTTTATAATATGAAATTAATGATATCGATCTTTTGAAATTAAACAATATAATAATGGAACAACGGACATATGAGAGTACAATTATTTTTTCGTAATAATCTGTGCGCATATATTAAAATCTCTAAAATTATGTATAAAGGACTCTTTGTTAATAAATAAATTTAAAAATGAATAAAAAAGATTTTTATTACGAAGATAAAATAGAAGATTGATGTTCTTAACAATATAATATGATATTGACATTAGAATCAATATCTAATTATTATTTTAATGTCAATATCATATTATATTGTTAAGAACATCAATCTTCTATTTTATCTTCGTAATAAAATTGTTTTTTTTAAATTGACATATAAGATTAGTTTTAATTTTTGACTCTTATGCCCTTTATTCATTTTTAAATTTATTTAAAATCTCTATTTATTCCAAATAAATATTCGAAATAATATGAAAAGCATGAACACTTTTAAGTCTATGGATGCTGGATGTTTATTATATGTATATTGTGACGTGACATTGTTGTCAGTCACTTTTGGCTGTGGTTACGCAGAGATTCTGGATCCTTTCAGCCGAAGGGCGATTTTTAAGTAAAAATGGCCTTATTACTTCAACGTTGAATAACTCTGAAAAAAAAGTCGTACAGAGCTCAACAAAAAAACAAATTGAAGGTAAAGATTCACTCTTTCGAAAGCTGTAAACCACATTCGTGCATAATTTTTACTTGGCTCCGTGGAACTTCTCAAATTTCGTATAAAATTTTCAGGTTTGACGCACTTTTATTAATGTTTGTGTAACTTTACGAAATATCGGTGAGACCATTTTTTGGAATACTGGTCTGAAAAGCAGAGATTTCAAGCTTTAAAATGCTCTTTTAAACATCTCGATACGATGATTTTTGACGAAGTTATTCTATCTCAAAGTTTGCAGGATGAAACAAGTGATCCCTTAATTTTGTTGAGAAGTGTAGATATTATCAACTTATTACTATTATTATTATTATTCATAGTCACCGCTGATACGTGCAAAGCGACATTGTACAAAAATTTACTCTCAATATCCTTCATTTCAAGAGAAAAACCAAAAACTTGAAGTTTAAAAAGTTTGATATTTTGAAATCGCGAGGTGCGCGTGCGCGAACTCGAAAGGTAAAGATGATTTTGAGAAACAGTGATTAATTTTCAAAAAATTGTATGGAATTTTATTAAATAATAAATACACAAACGCGCACGCCACAGTAAAAGAAAATTCGTTTATTATGTGTAATAAATACGCGCAATCTATTGTAAATTTCAATAGATTGAAAAAAAATTATTTCCTTAGAAATTAATCGGTGAGGTCTGCGTCAGAGATATGTTCATAAATAGCAGAGATTTTAAATGCTCGTAATATTGTACGAAGAAAAACAAATGAAAGCGAAGGATTGAAATTAAATAATATGCCGATTTATAAATAAAGATATTCGTGTGGAAAGGATCTTTGAAGAAAATCAAGGGCAGGTTGTTATAAAATGAAGAGATTGCAATTCGTCGTCGTTATATTTATTTGCTTTATTGTTATATGTCATATAATAGTTTTATATCATATATCGCAGTTATCATAAATCAAATTTGAAAATAGGCTTTAAATTATAACAATATATCCTTAGAGAATAATTGAAGCGCTCCCTGGAATATAGGTCAAAAAGCCCTCGTACGATTTCCATGAGCTTTATATCATTATCATTATCATCATTACCTTCATCATTATTTCTCTCATCATCATAATCGTCTCAACTTACGCGCGTGTGGGAACCGTTTCAGTTATATAGTATATCGTCGCTATGTATTGGACACTTGCCGAAATCCCCACCAAAAGATTTTCAAATGTTCAAATCGAAATGAACATTTCATATATTCGAGTGTATGTGTGTAATGTGTGTGTTTTCATCTATATAATATTATTATATCATTACTAAGTCCAGCCGAGATAGCAGGGTGACGTCTTCCTCCCTTTCTATGTACTTGTTTTTTTTTTTCTTTTTTGTTTTCTCTCTCTTTCTTTCCTATATTTTGCGTGTAATAATAACTATAATATAATAATAAACATTATTACACCACCACAGCAATAATAATATTATAATAGCACTGTCGCACTAGGGACGCGCACGACTATATCCTCATTTGCGTTGTGACGGCCCACTACCACTTTTACAATGAACTGCATTCATTGATCTGAATAGGATTCGGTATATATAATATATTATTAGTACATTGTATATTCGATTCGTGACACATCTCTTGTAACGTTTACATAAATTGGATTTTCCCGAGAACCTGGTTGTTTACGCATGGCGTATGGTACGTATAGAGTTATAGAGTTTTCGCGTTTTACACGGCACGTGTGAGGTCGATAACAATTCGCTACGATCGTGGCTCGATGAATCTGCTTGAAATAGTGCGCGATTCGTATTATGGTGATCGTTATTCGATAAAAAAAAAAAAAAAACTTCATCTACGAAACAAATGCAAAGAGAGATGTAAATGTATCATATCGAAACGCGCGGCTGTGTGACCGATCTCCTCTGTTTACTCAAGTAATCGGTTGGAATTATGTCGCTCATCGTTTACGCTTTGTTCGCACATCTTCGATCAAGTTAATGACGTAACACTCAACGTACAATTATTGGGAAAAAAAAAAAAAAAAAAAACTATAGTTATTTAGATGGAAATAAAGTGAAAGTGCTTTTTAAGTGCGATTAGATGTAATCGGCGAGTCTCTAGCGCTAAGAAACGCTCCGCTCTTTTTATTTTTTTTTTCTAATTACTATCTATCTGTTCTGGTGCACAGATTTAGAAGCAACAGTCAAATTTAGTAGAGTTATAATAAAGAATTTGTGAAGCGCAAGTGCAAAAGTGGAAGAAGAGTAATGTATACCCAGGTTCGATGAAGCCAATATGGTTTCCAAGATTTTCTTTACACCTTTCTTTTCATATTTCATTCGAGCTATCTTCATCAGTCACTCTCAATTTGCAATATGGAAGTAATCGGTATCGTTTTGCAAAGCAATTATTTACACGATTGTAACATGTCCGTAAGTTTTACAGTGTTTCTTTACAGCGCTCTAAATGGCAACACGTAATTCTTTTTTTCACCTATCGTTCGATATGGTAGTGTTAGAAGCACTGTACTCGACGTAAGCAAACAAAATTTAAATCAATCGTAATCCGAAGTAAGAGCTTTGCTTGGTAATTGTATTCATCTGTGATACGATCTGTGTTAAATGTTCCATCATCATTACTGCAGAGATTGAAGTAACGATTTAAAACATAATGTTACGAATATATATAAGACTGAACTTATTGTGACTTAGCGAAAAAATTCCACTATCATGAGAGTTTGTTTTATAATCATTTATATATATGTATATATATATATATATATATATCTGACAAAATGTTAAATGTCAGTTAACGCTACTATAGAAACAAAATGGCAAGATGCAAAATGTATTCAATTTCATGTACGTATAATTTTTATGTGTATCTAGATCGTCGTTTTGGATTTGAATTAAATATGTTTCAATACAAAATACTCTGAACTCGCAAACTCAGATCCTTTTCGACAGTAGAAAATAAATCATTATTATTAATATTCAGTTATTATGAAATAGCAGTGTTTCTGTAGATCAACAATTGATAACGGAACATGTAACCATTCGCATGGTTAAGAAAAGCAATAACACAGATCCAAGGTAATTATAATTAATTACATTGTTATTACCCTACTATTGTATTTCTTAACCAGCATAGACTCTCTTTTCATTTTCTTTTGCTTTTGTGGATATTGCTTATAATTCTGTAATTAATTCGGGAATTAGTAATGAATTAAGGATTTATCATCTTATCCTCTAGTGTGACAAGCAATATTAAGAGACAATCTGGGTTTGAATGAATATAAGATCGTAATATAATTTATATGCCTACAAATAATTGATCCAATTCAGACTATTGCTAATTTACTATCTCTTCTCATTTTTTTTTCCATCATCAGATCCAAAATATGAAAATATGTTATAATTTAGAGGTTGAAGCTGTGTTAGCATAATTATTTCCTGTTTTTTAGTGGGTCCATTTAGTCCATGCCTGCAAATAAATGAAATTAATATATTGATAGTTTTTCAATTAAATTAAACAAATACATAATTTTTTTACAATAGTATTACCATATCGTTTTCCATAATTAAAAAGAAAAAAAAAAAATTTCAAATTGAAGAGATTTTATCAGATAAAAAAATCTTACCGGATGTTGCTTGTCTTGTACGGCATCAGGCATTCCCCATGCAGGTGAATCTATCTTAGACTGTTCGCCCGGCGGGAGTTCTGACAGGTCAAATTGTCCCGGTAATAACGCCAATGCTGGTATGAGTGACAATGCCGTATTTCCATTAGCTGGGAAAGGCTGTTGTGTATTCACATGGCCCTAAACACGATAAAGTTAATTATGCGCGCGTGCAAACAATTTAATATATGATAGAGAGTCTGCGGAATCTGCTTAATCTTTGATATGACAAAAATTCTTTATTCGTAAGAGAGTATTCGTAAAAAATATTCATAAAAAATACATAATCACACATACGCACGCGCGCGCATGCATATAAAATTAAGCATACAGGGATATGATTTTTCTATCCATCGTGCCTCGTGCTACGAACAACTAATGGCGGTCCAATAAACTTTCTAGTTTTGAAAAAACACACACACACACACACACACAATCTGTAAGACGAAATGTAGGTATACAAAAAGGTCGAGGGTCCTATTGTGCGTTCGGTATAGGGCGACTGATCAGGTATTTCAGGTATTTCAACGATTTCAGCGCACTTTGCGCCCGTTGCCTAAAACTCACATAACTCGAGAAATACTTTGAGAAATAATGATTTTTAATTTTGTTAATACGGAAAATTTGCCTTTAATTTTTTTTGCAAAAATTGTCATTTTACAAAAAAATATACAAATTTATGTAAAACCGTAAGATAGTCGTCATATATATTATCAAAGCAGAAAGTAGCTTTATCTTTATAAATTACAATGAATTTTTCAAGTTGTAAGTTTTTTTTACAAGTACTTGTGCAGTTTTAAGGAGGTATACCTGAGTAAAATTTTCAAGAAATCGAAAAAATTTTTTTTGCTTCGAAAGATTGATGTCTTAAAAATATGCTCTTAAAAGGTTTTTATAAAATTCCAAGTATTTCTCGAGTTATGTGAGTTTTAGGGAACGGGCGCAAAGTGCGCTGAAATCGTTGAAATACCTGAAATACTTGATCAGTCGCCCTATATCGAACGCACAATAGGACCCTCGACCTTGTAGTTTTTTGTATACCACATTTCGTCTTACAGTGTGTGTGTTCTACGTGAAATAAAAGATGGATAGAAAAAGTATAAAATCTCCGATAACCGTAACAGAAATCGAGATTGTAGAAAAAGACAACGTCCTCTAAATAGATATGAATTTAGACAACGCACGAAGAAAGAATGCATTTCAGGAAGGATATAAATGCAAAAAATGATGCTGCCGATGCTACAGACAATTCATTTTATGGCCCTGGAATAGATTCACTATGCTAAGCTGACAAATTCGATAGATTTCTATTAAAAAATCAATACTGAAACTTTAAACGTGTTTTTTTCAAAAGTGTTTTTTTTTTTTTCAACTGGCTCTATCTATAACTCGAACAATTTTCGACCGATTGAGCTCATCTTTGAACAGTAGCTTCACAAAACGTATAATTTCAGTTAAGCGTAAGGATTTTTTTTTTAATTGTTAGTTTTCAAGGGGCGAGATGTTTAAGAAGTTCATAATGTAGTGAAAAAAAATTTTTCTTTTTTTAACCCTTTGCGGCATACATTTTTCTTTACACGGAAAACAGTTGAAAATTGTAATTTATTTATAACGTTCAATTAATTAACAATAACCTTTGTTTTCTTTTTTATTTCTATGAAGGGATTTTCTCTAATACATTTTATATGCTTTTTGTCATTAAAACTAATGAAATAGTGTTTCAAAAATGTAAAAAAGTGTACAGAAAAAGGTGACACTCAGGAGTGTCACTATGCCGCAAAGGGTTAACCATTGCCATTTCGTAAAAAAAAAATTGCTATGCTCAACTGAAACTACACTCATATAGATTTGAAATTTTCAAGCAAATTTTATTTAAGATAATTACAATTTGAGTTCCCTACAGAGCCGATGGACCATGTTTTGTGAACACGGAATGTCTACAATGTTGAGCAACAACGTCATATATTTATATTTTGACATATAAAAATTCTTAAAATATTTTCAAGGTGTATCCAATTGATACATCAATTCATATTTCTTCTAAACCTAATAGTTACTTAAAAAAAAAAATTGACAAAGAAAGCCTTTTTTTAAGGCCTTTACTTAGGTGTACCCCCTTAAGTCCTGGATCTTTTTCTTATCATTATACGTAGCAATATTGTACAAAGTATAATAAATCGATAAGAAAAATTGCAAATAATTAATCGCGAGAGAATTGACAGTTACCTGGTAGGAAGGTTCCATTATTTGATGGAGCTCGGGTTCGACGTTGGATATACGTTGGTTATAGGTGGGATTCGATCGAAACATTTGGTGCCTGTCGATACCAGGTGCCAGGTTACAATTCGACCACGCTAGTTTCTCATTGAGCATCCAACTGATGGAATCGGCATCGCCGCCCGGACCCATACCAGTTACCGAGTAATTCTTCCATGTTGCTCTTTCAGTACCAATTGGTCGCGGTACCTTGCGGTCTTCGATTTTCAATTGGCTTATTTCCTGAGTCACTTGCGCCGGCGACGAGGGAGATATGGCCGGCGAACCACCATTTTCCATTGTTGTAATCAGATCCATGCCGCCGCTGCCACTAGCGCTGCCGCCACTACTACTGCTGCCGCTACCGCCACCGCTACCACTACCACTACCGCCACCACTACTACCACCACCACCACCACTACCACCACTACCACTACTACTACTACCACCACCACCACTACTAGCAGCAGCAGCAGCAGCAGCAGCAGCAGCAGCAGCAACAGCAGCGGCTGCAGCAGCAGCAGTAGCAGCACCAGCAGCACCACCACCAGCAGCGCCACCAGCACCAGCACCAGCACTACCACCACCAACACCACTAGCACCAGCACCAGCACTACCACCGGCAACACCACCACCACTACCACCACCGGGTTGACCACCAATATTGGCAAGCTGATTGGAGAACCCGATCTGGCTAATCATGGGATCTTGGTGTGGCGGGTAGCCAGTATGTGGTGCCGGTGTGGCAAATGGCCAACGGGTCGTCTGGGCCGTCGTCGAGATGCCAGGGTTCGCTGCTGGCGTTGCCCGCGCTTGATACTTTCCTAGCGGATAATTACCGAGTATCGCCAAATTATTGGCGGGCGGCGGCGGTGCCGGCACGGTTGCGGCAAACATGTTGGCCGGGTGCAATCCTGCCGATCCGGCGGCAGCATTAAACATCGTTACTTGCGGCTTATTGCTCAGGTGAAGCGAACTAGAGAAGTCAGGAGCGCGCGGGTTCAATCTTGACATACTAACGGTGGTATTGATCACGGAGGCGGACGGCGCGATAGTCTGAGCGAAACTCTGCATGTGAGGATGAAACGGTAGCAAAGAATGGCCAGCGGTATTCTGACTATCGTTCGGCATCATTTTCAACAGGTTGGAATTAACGTTCGGATGCTCGTAACTGCCGCTGCCGCTGTTCGCCGCCTTGAACAAACTGACATCCAGCGCCGGTTGTGATGTAGACGGTATCACATGTGCTGCCGGTTGATGAGTCGTCGCGCTCCGTGTTGTCAGATCACCCTGAAATACCGCTGGTCTACTGAACTGTGCCGCCATGCCCGTTCCCATATCAATGTTCTGTTGGGGTATTACTGGTCTAGCCACCGCTAGACTACCGGGCGGTTTGTTTGATATTGGATGCTCGCTGTAGCTCGTCGAAGATTGAAACTGCGCGGGCTGCATAGGATTGTTGTGCACGGAACATGATACCACGCTGCCAATAACGTTGCTTGATGTATTGCTCGTGTTACCCGGCTTGCTGGAAACCGGGGAACACATTGCTGTACCGCGGTATCCCGGAGCCTTGGACGCGTCTACCTGTGCTCGATAAAATTTAAAATGTTTATATTTTCTTGATTCTGTTACGCTTTGAAAGGATTGCAATGGAAAAAAAAAGCAAGCAGAATCTTTTTTTTCTTTACCAACGAGCAAAGGACAAGCAAAGTAGTATATGAATTTTGCCTAACTTTATTAAATAAACTTTATCAGGGTTGCCACAAATTTTTCATCCTAATATTCCCTGACATTTCCCTGATTTTACTGACAACATTTTGTAATTTTCCCTGACTTTCAATATAAATATTTTAAAATAGTTTTTGTATTTTCATCCTGATTTGAAAATTGTTATATATTTTGTTGATCGAGTAATTTAACGTAACAGTGTAATTAAATTAATGTTGTAATAATAATACTATTAATACTATTAATAAATAATACTATTAATGTTGCTGATACTACATTTTATCGTTTTAAGTTAATAGTACTTTTTGTCTTTTCCTTTTATTATGTATGAACATGATTCTTTTCCTCTTCCTCTCTTTCTTTTTACTCTACTATACTTAAAATATAAGGAACATAAATCAATGAATACAGTTTCTTTTTTATCAAAATTATGTCCTGTTTATTAAAATCTCAATCTACTTATAAAAGTTAACATATTTGAAAAAAAAAAATCATAAAATTATAAAATAATAACATTTATTTTACTCACTTGTTCATAAGTGACATAGAACTTTCTCATATAAAACAAAAGAACAGACAACTTTAAAATTTCAATGTTTTTAGTAAAGCATTTTAAATCTTTACAAGTTTACGTTAGCTTTTTAACACAACTAAAATTTCAAATCCTTAAAGAAAACTTAAATACTGCAACGTAAAAAATTGTACAAGTTTTTTAATCGAATGTTAATGACATCAGTGATGTTATTTCTTCATCAAGAGCACTTAGTTCATTAGTTTTTTCTGCCAAAAGTTTTGCCTTCTTAGTCTTCAATTTTGAAATTTTGTAAACAAAGATCTTTTTTTAGCAGCCGAGTTGGCTTGAAGAACAAAGCGAAATGATTTTATCGATTGTGGCGTCGTGATATAAATAAATTTCTTTACAGCTATTTTATGCCACAAATTTTTAAACGTAAAATTTCTTGACATTTCCCTGATTTACTGACAAAATTTTAAGATTTTTCCTGACTTTGAATAATACATATTTTGCAATGTTTCTTGTATTTTTATCGTACTACGAAAAATGTTAAATATTTTGTAGATCCAGCAATGTAACATAGATGCATATTTTCTTCAGGAAACGAATTCCAAAAAACAAAAAAAAAAACAAAAACAAAAAAGGTAGTCCAAACCGATCATAGAAGCACAAGGCAATATAAATTTATTTATAGCTATTTTATTTTTCCCGAAAAGTGTGCTAAATCCCTGACTTTTCCTGACTTCCCTGATTTCCTGATTTGTGGCAACTCTGAATAATTTCCCTATTACATGCGTTGCCTAATCATTTACTTAAAAAAGTTACACATTTTCTGTAAAAATTTACATAAAAAAAGGAAACTTTCGATGCAAATTTCTCGTGCATACTTGAATATTGCACCGTACCATTTGCTTACAAAATAGAGGATGGAGAAGTAAAATAAATTTTTAAATATATTTATGCGAAATTTACGTGTACATTACTTTTGACTTTCTCAATGAAAGAACAAGATTATGTATTTCGTATTGTGTGTATTCTTATGTACGAAAAAATTAAATAGAGACAATTCATTTTCACAACGTACCTGCGGTGGGGAACTGTCAAATTTAGCCGCAGCTGGGCCAGAGTTCGTGTTTGACGATACACCACCGCCCGCAACAGTCGCAAAATTCATGCCTTTTTGGGTTTCGTTTTCTCTTCCTCCCCACATTGACTGTTGCGTGACTTTAGTAAAAGTATCGTTAAACAGAGAATACTCCAGAGGCGTGCTACTAGGTTGTTGCTGCTGTTGTTGCTGCTGCTGCTGATGCTCCTGAGACACGATCGGCGTAGTGCTGCGAATATTTTGCTGCGATTGCTGTTGCATCGATTGTTGCTGCTGCTGTACCGTTGGTAATGGTGGCGGTAACGTCTGCGTTTGCAGCGATACAACCGGCGGCGAAGGTGTCACTCGAACGGAACTGGTTGACGTTGAAACGATCGAATTATCCGGACAGTTTGTCGTTACTACGGCGTTTGTAGCCGCTGACGACGAAATTGCAATCGTTCCTGCAGAGTAGATTGACTTTCCGGGATAGTGAGATGCTATTGCCGATGTAGCAGGCAAAATTGGCAGTGATCGGCAGTGTTTCGGCGATGTACGACTGACCATAGACTGTTGTTGCTGGCTGATTGTATGAGCGGTTGCCGCAGACGTGACCGACATGATAGTTACGGTCGTGGCTTGCGCCATGGGCTTCTGTTGCTTGTTTACAGGTGCAATTTGAGTGGACTGTATGACAGTAGTGGAACTATGAGTCGAGGCAGTGACATCGGATAGCTTCGCTGCGAACGACTGCGTTGTGACAACCTTTGTTCCCGTTCTACCGGCCGTCATAATCGCACTCGTATATGACATTGTCGTCTTGGTATTTGATGAGGACGCCATGTGAGCAGCTACGGCTTGCGCACGTTTCTCCGCTATATGTACATACATAAGTTTAATATTGATATGCAGGGGGGGGAATGGGAAGTTACTTTTTAAGAGTAACAACTTACAGTTACTCGTTACTGAGTAAAAAAAACGTAACGAATTACCGTTACTAGTTATCGCTTTTTAAAAACAGTTATCGTTACTCGAAAGGTAATTTTTCGTTACTTTTCCGTTACTTATTAAAAATCAGTCTGAAAATGTACTTTTGCAGTATTTTTTGTTTAAACTTTAATAAAAGAAATATATATATACATATATATATATAGCATGTATAACCTGACACTATGTCACAGTATATACGTGGCAACTCTCCTGATTTTATGTCGGAAAAAATGGAGTGCGCATGCGCGAAATGGGTAAGTTATGGCTCCCGCAGACAGAACGCGGAAATGCTTGCCGCGTGGCGGAAGTTGGCACGATAACCAATCAATGTCTTGCCAGCGAGACGCTGATTGGCTATTGCGGCAACTTCCGCCGCGCGGCAAGCGTTACCGCGTTCTGTTTGCGGGAGCCATTAGAGTGGGAAAGGGTGCAGCCACAATAGAAGGAATAAGGAGTAAAAAATTTAACCTATTAGAAATCGGATACATTGGTATACACGGTTTCTGATAGGCTAAAATTTCTTATTCCTTATTCCTAATTCGTTATTAATCCTATTGTGGCTCCACCCTTAGCCTATCAAAAACTATGTATACCAATTTAAATAATTAATATAAAAACTAGTTATAGACTCTTTTTGTTAAAAACAAATAAACAATCGTGAATTATAAGGCTATAAAGAGTCAAACGCAGTTGATCATGCGAAAAATTAATTTAATCTTACAATTAAAAATACAGTCGAACGTTTCGGTCTGTGATTTAGACCATCTTCAGCGACCAAGTGATAATAAATACAAAGCTCCATATACTCCAAGTTATAATGCCAATTGAAAATCAATTATTGTTAATTAACAAATTGTTTCCGTGCACCAACCAGAGGTAAAAGCATCGTGTGAAGATGTGTAGCAAAATTTTTTAAAAAACAGTAATATGTTTGTGGAAAGACAGTTAATAACATATATTATTCTATTAAAAATTATCCAGAGAAAATTAAAACAAAAATTTTTAAATATTTAAACACTCACCCCTGTTGGTAGACAAAAACATAATTACACATTTTAAATTCATAATTCCATAAATTTAGACTGACTAAACATATATGTGACCGTATTCATCAGAAGGAAACGATACAATGAGGAACGTTAAATTACTGACAACAAAATAAATTAAAAATAAATGATTAGGTCAAATCATACTGTTGTCAATTTTTCTAAAATATCTATGTACGACCGATCAAGACCTT